GGTATAACACCCAGTTCTGGCCAGTGAGACTTCAGGGCAAGTCTTCTAGACAACTGAAAGGGAGAAATCCCTGTTAAAAGGTACTTTAAAGAGGCAACCTTTTGTTTCTTCATCCATTCTTCCTGCTTAAGATGCTGTTGTGTAAGAATTTGATGCTTAAAATTGGAGAAGCCATTTTGTGTCTCAGAGGAGGGCCATAGACAGCAATTGTGGATGAGAAAGTAGATAAATGGGTGCCTGGGCCCCTGATGCCATCATTGAGCCACAAAGGCAAACCTGAGACCCACCTATCATCTAACTTCCTGTTAAGAAAATAAGCATCCTTCAATTTGAGCCATGGCTAGTCAGAATTTTTTTAATTGCAGCCAAAAAATCCCTAAATGTTAAAAATTAGGAGAGAGCTTAAACAATGTATATGCTACTAAATTCCTGGGAGAGTCATAGAAGGCTGCAAGGTCTTGAAGGATGAGTGGAGGTCACCAGGTGGAGAAACAGGGGAAAGCATTCCAGGCAGAGGCAGGAGCTTGAACAATGGAGTAGAGATATGGGGGGTGGGGGGTAATATTGTTTGGATGTCCCCAATCAAATCTTATCTTGAATTGTAGCTCCCATAATTCCCATTGAGGGATCTAGTGGGAGATAACTCAATTATGGCGGTGGTTTCCCTCATATTGTTCTCGTGGTAGTGAGTAAGTCTCACCAGGTCTGATGGTTTTATAAGGAGAAACCTCTTTCACCTGGCAATCACTCTCTTTGCCTGCTGCCATCTATGTAAGATGTGACTTGCTCCTCCTTGCCTTCTGCCATAATGTGAGGCTTCCCCAGCTACGTGGAACTGTAAATCCAGTTAAACTTCTTTCTTTTCTAATTTGACCAGTCTTGGGTATGTCTTTATCAGCAGCATGAAAATTGACTAATATAGTAAATTGGTACTAGTAGAGTGAGGTGCTGCTGTAGACACCCAAAAATGTGGAAGCGGATTTGCAATTGGGTAACAGGCAGTGGTTGGAACAATTTGGAGGGCTCAGAGGAAGACAGAAAAATGTGGGAAGGTTTGGAACTTCCTAGAGACTTGTTGAATGACTTTGACCAAAATGCTGATAATGATATAGACAATGAAATCTGGTCTGAGGTGGTTTCAGATGGAGATGAGGAGCTTGTTGGGAACTGGAGCAAAGGTGACTCTTGCTATGTTTTAGCAAAGAGACTGGTGGCATTTTTTCCCTGCCATAGAGATTTGTGGGACTTTGAACTTGAGAGAGATGATTTAAGGCATCCGGTGGAAGAAATTTCTAAGCAGCAAAGCATTTAAGAGGTGACTTGGATGCTGTTAAACACATTCAGTTTTATAAGGGAAGCAAAGCGTAAAAGTTTGGAAAATTTGCAGCTTGACAATTTGATAGAAAAGAAAATCCCATTTTCTGAGGTGTGCCTGTGGGTGCACAGAAGTCAAGAATTGGGGTTTGGGAACCTCCGTCCAGATTTCAGAGCATGTATGGAAATGCCTGGATGTCTAGGCAGAAGTATGCTATAGGGGCAGGGCTCTTATGAAGAACCTCTGCTAGGGCAGTGTGGAAGGGAAATGTGGGGTCACAGCCCCCACACAGAGTTCCTACTGGGGCACTGCCTAGTGGAGCTGTGAGAAGAGGGTCACCCTCCAGACACCAGAAATGATAGATCCATTGACAGTTTGCACCATGTGCCTGGAAAAGCCACAAACACTCAATGCCAGCCAATGAAAGCACCTGGGAGGGAGGCTGTATTCTGCAAAGCCACAGGAGCAGAGATGCCCAAGCCATGGGAACCCAACTTTTGCATCAGCATGACCTGGATGTGAGACATAGAGTCAAAGGGGATCATTTTGGAGCATTAAGATTTGACTGCCCTACTGCATTTCAGACTTGTGTGGGGCCTGTAGCCCCTTTGTTTTGGCCAATTTATCCCATTTGGAACAGCTACATTTACCCAACGCTTGTACCTAGGAAGTAACTAACTTGCTTTTGATTTTACAGGCTCACAGGTGGAACAGACTTGCCTTGTTTCAGATGAGACTTTGGACTATGGACTTTTGAGTTAATGCTGAAATGAGTTAAGAATTTGGGGGACTGTTAGGAAGGCATGATTGGTTTTGAAATGTTAGGACGTGAGATTTGGGAGAGGTAATGGGTGGAATGATATAGTTTGGCTGTGTGCCCACCCAAATCTCATCTTGAATTGTAGCTCCCATAATTCCCATTGTTGTGGGAGGAACCTTGTGGCAGATAATTGAATCATGGTGGTGGTTTCCCCCATACTGTTCTCATGGTAGTGAATCACCATGATCTGATGGTTTTTGATCTGATGGTCAGTTCTTGATTTTTGTGTGCCCACAGGCTCAACACCATGTGGAAGCTACCAAAACTTGAGGCTTGCACCCTCTGAAACCCCAGCCCGAGCTCTACATTGGCACCTTTCAGTCACGCTGGAGCAGCTGGGACACAGGGTACCAAGTACCTAGGCTGCACGCCTCAGAAAATGGGATTTTCTTTTCTATCAAATTGTCAAGCTGCAAAAATCACCAGATGTGATGGTTTTTAAAGGAGAAACCTCTTTCACTTGGCACTCACTCTTTGCCTGCTGCCATCCATGTAAGATGTGACTTGCTCCTCCTTGCCTTCTGCCATGATTGTGAGGCTTCCCCAGACACATGGAATTTAAGTCCAATTAAACCTCTTTCTTTTGTAAATTGCCCAGTCTCAGGTATGTCTTTATCAGCAGTATGAAAATGGACTAATACAGGGGGCATGTTATATTTGGACATGATGGAAGTTCGGTATGGTTGGAATACAGACCAAGGTGGGAGTGATGAGAGAGGATTTATTCAGAGTAAAAGCTACAGTGCTTTAACAAAAGATAGTGGCTTAAAAGATGTAAAAGCTTACCTCTCTCTCATGGAACAGTTCTAATGTGGGTGACCCAGGCTGTCAGGGTAGGACTGCCCTGTGTGGTGGTCCAGTTAAACTTCTTTCTTTTGCAAATGGGCCAGTCTTGGGTATGTCTTTATCAGCAGCATGAAAATTGACTGTGTGGTGGTCCAGAGACTCAGGTTTCTTGCCTGTATTACTTCCTCATCTCCTTGAGTATGGCCCTAAACTGCCCGATCCAGGGAATCTCCAGTTCCCATCCTCCTCAGGGAAGAGGATAAGAAACTAGAGAAATATGTATCTGATGTATGAAGGCCCCCCATGAACATGGCACCAACATACTTCATGTTTGCTGATTTTCAATGAGCAAGAATTTAGTCATTAGCCACAGCTAGTGCAGGGAGGTCTAGGAAACCACAAGCTGTGTGGCCACCTAGCAAGCTCTCTTCAGGCAGGGAGAAGCTCTGAAGAACTGAGGGCAGCTTTTAGCTCGATGTATGGATAAAGGCTTCCATACTTAGAATCGGCCAAAAGCCAACATGTTTAATGATGAAGTCAGCTTCTCTTCATCAGAGATATTCAAGCAGAACCTGGACAGCAGCCGTGCAGATGCCTTGTAAAGCGGACTGGTAATGAAGCAGTGGACTGGTCTAGAGGACCCCTGCCATGTCTAAGGCCCTTGGATTTGGCACTTGCTACATCTCTCTCTCTCAACAGTGGTGTGATATGGGTCAATTGGGCAGCCTGAGCCTGGAGACAAGATCAGTTAAGAGGCTGAGCCAAACTGTGAGGAGGTGCCATGAAGACAAAAAGGAAGGAATGTTTGTGAGCAATAATGGAGAGGAAGAGCCATAGTTCTTAGTGTCTGATAGGTTGTCAGGGGCAGGTTTAGGAAACCAGAAGAGTTAATGATGATCCCAAGTTTTCCAGCCTGCGTACGTGCAAGACATCACCAAGCCTCTAGCAGAGATAGATGAGGCCTATGGCATGTTGATCAGGCAGCTGAAAATGTGAGTAGGGAACGGGTGAAGAGGTCCAGGCTGGGGGATTTAGACTTGGGAATTGTCCAAATACATATGATTTTTTTTTTTTTTTTTTTTTTTGAGATGGAGTTTTGCTCTGTTGCCCAGGCTGGAGTGCAGTGGCACGATCTCGGCTCACTGCAACCTCCGACTCCCGGGTTTAAGCAATTCTCCTGTTTCAGCCTCCCGAGTAGCTGGGATTACAGGTGCCCACCACCACGCCCAGCTAATTTTTGTATTTTTAGTAGAGACAGGGTTTCACCATGCTGGCCAGGCTGGTCTCAAACTCCTGACCTCAAGCGATCTGCCCGCTTCGGCCTCCCAAAGTGCTGGGATTACAGGCATGAGCCACTGCACCTGGCCCATATGAATTTTAAAAACAGGAATTGGTAAGATCACCAAGAAAAAAAGTAAGGAGCAGAAATGGTTAACCTGGGATTTACAGGCTCCTGTAGGGTCCATGAATGCACATTGTGTGCTTGTGTTTGTGTGTGTCTGTGTGTGAGTGTGTTTTCATCAGATTCTCAAAAGGACCTGGGACTTAGAATCACAGCTGTAGGAAAAGAATGTTCCTTCAGGGAGAAGAGAAGTTGGGGAAACTATTATTCACAGGTGCCAAAGGGAACAATCACTCCAGAAAGAGGATGTTTGCAATTTCAGATGTTCCTTCGATGTCCTGTGGCCTATAAGAATCGAGAAATGGTCATTGGATTGGCCAACTGGAGACCTTTAAGAAAGCCACCTCCGTCCGTGGGAGAGGGTGCAATTCAGATCCCAAACTGAGGTGAGGACCGGGCCAGGAGTGTGGGCCGCCCTCTCAACAAATCTGCTTATGAGAGGAAGTGATGGACCAGATGCTTAAGGGGTAGGGACTAGATTTTGCCTTACGGAGGACAAGTCAGTCCCTGAAGAGAAGCCGCGGAGAGGGACGCAGAAGCACAGTGGGACGCAAAGGTCTCGGGGAAAGTGGGCTTGCTAAGAGGTGCCAGGGCGTTCGCCGGAGGTGCAGGGAGGCCGCTGGGATTCCGCCAGGAGAAACGAGAGTGCGCGAAGAAGCTTCACACAAACGGCCTTGACCTCCCCTGCCCAGAGTTGGGGTCAGAGGTGCACTCGGGGTCTGATCCTCCCGGAGGTGTTTGAAACGCTGGCGTGCGGTGCGAGATGGGGGCGAAAGCGTAAGAGCCCGCTGGGCCGCGGCCAGGCCCGGGACCCTGGCTATACCGCGCGCAGGAGCAGCTCCACCTGGAAGCTGGGCCCACGGGACTGAGCCTTGCGCTGATTGGCCGGCGCAGCGTCGCGTGCGTCAGTTGCCCGCCGCCGCGTGGCCGAGGAGTAGCTTGGGCGTTAGTGGGGCCCCCACACCAGTTCCTCAGTGCCTCCGCCTGTGATGTGATTAGCCAAGACCTGTGCCTTTAAGGAGTGCCCCCTTCCTCGGCCCTTCCCCCTCCAATTACAGCACTAATTTCAGTAATGGAGCATTAATAGAGTAATGGGCGAGTGAGGCTGGCTTGAAGGAACTGTGGAGCTCAGCACAAATTGAGTAAATAAACCATGTATTAGATTTCTAAACAATACTTTTAGTCTAGTCTCCAGGGAAAGAGAGTCTTCAAGACTTACTTAAGTCATCCCTGCAAAGTGTATGTAAAAGAAGCCTCCTTTCAGAGCTTGGTTGTTTGTAGAAGCAGGAAATCTCCCTCTCTCATCCCAGGGATGGGAGAGGTAAGATAGCTGTTGTTCCCACATTTTCCCTTTCTTGTTATTTTCCAATTTTTTTTCTTACTTTGACAGAGGTATGGGAGGCGAGAATCTCCAAGGATGCTTCCCGCCTGGGGACCCTGGCAGGGGTGGTGGAGGCGGACGTCTCCCCGGGAAAGGTAGCTTGCGCAGATATTGATGATGTATAGGAAGTGGGGGCAGGGGCCAGAAAGGGGAGAAACTTGGGGAGAAAGAGGGAAAATTACTAGCAGATGACCTTATTATGGAGAATGAGGCTGTTGCCTCTACTACTTGGCAATGTGTTATAGGGATGACTTTAAGAAGACTAAAGAATAATAACATGTTACAATAAGAAGGACTGCATCTGTGTTGCTTTAATGGGTAATGGAAAGAAGGAAGGTCTGGGTGTCAGAAGATCAAAGATATGGTCTCAGATCTCTTACTTACTAGCTGTAGGACCTTGGACAATCTTACCTTCCTGTGCCTCAGTTTCCTTATCTGTAAAAAGGGAAGAGTGGTATCTTTCTGCCTGCTCCCCAGGGTCATTAGGAGGGCTAGAGGAGAGTGTGTGTTAGTTGCTGGACAGGTGTGTCCTCTGTGCTTCCGATGTCCATGCAGCCCAGCTTCAGCCTCTGAGGGCAGGGAGGAGGTGATTCTGGGCTATAAGGTTTGGGCAAAGGTAGGAAATCCCTGAAATATTAGTTTAGGGTTATGAAACGTTAACACATTCTTCACCTGCTCTGTGTTCATGATGGTGACACTCTGAAGCTGTGAAATAGGATTTGAATATTGTTGCTAAAATATGTCCTGACTTAGTTTGCTCCTGTTGCCTAAGCAAGCCCTGAATGTGGGCTGAGGGCTGTGACTTGAAGTACCTGAGAAGGGCTCCCTGTCTTCCACAAGGGCCCTGATGACTCCAGAAAGGCTGATTTACAGTGCGATATTTGCCGTGACTGTGAAGACTCTTTAGGTAAGGCATTGATAGCCAACAGCTGCTTCTGCTAAATCTTCTAAACATTCTGGGTGTCCCACTTGCTAGAGAGCAGCCACTGAAGGAAAGTTCCTCATGAACCTGTGGTCTGCATGAAGTGGGGGAGGGAAGCAAAAGACAATAGGAAGGAAGCAAGTGAGTTCTGGTACGTTCTCCATCTTAGAGGTTAAGAGCTTGGGTTCTGGACACAAAGTTAGGTTTTAATCCTGCCCTGCCCTGCCACTACCTGGCTCTGTGACTACTATAGCTTGGATATTCGACCATTCAACTCTCACGTTGAGATTTGATCCCCAGTGTTGGAGGTGGGGCCTGATGGGAGATGTTTGGGTTATGGAGGTAGACCTCTTATAAATAGATGAGTGCTCTCTTTTGGGGGTAGGGGATGGTGAGTGAATTCTCAGTCCATTAGTTCCCTTGAGAGCTGGTTGTTAAAAGCAGCCTGGTACCTTCCCACTCTGTTTCTTGCTTCCTCTTTCACCATGTGATCTCTGCACACCCTGGCTCCCCTTCACCTTCTGTCATGAGTGGAAGCGGCCAGAAGCCCTCACCAGAAGCAGATGCTGGTGTCATGCTTCTCATACAGCCTGCAGAACCATGAGCCAAATAAATTTCTTTCCTTGTAAATCACCCAGCAACAGGTATTCCTTCATAGCAATACTAAACGGACTAAGACAGTGACCCTGGGTGAATTTCATCTCACCCCTGGGCAGCAGTTTCCTATGTGCTGGTGTGTGTGATGCCTGTCTTAAAGGGCTATGGTGAGGATTCAGTGACAAATACAGCACTTGACATATCACACAAGTTACTGTCATTTTATGCCTCTGTCTTTGAGCTTTTAATGGCAGTTATGTTTTTTCTTCCTTCTAACCCTAGTAGATATACAAATAAAGACAAGAGAAGAAAGAAGGAAGGAGTATCTATCTGATTGATGGGGGAAGAGTCTGGATTTCTAGCAAGTCTCATCACCTTTAGTGGCCTAAGAGCTGAGTTCCCACTTGGTGAGGACCAGTGTTCTTACCTGGATTTTTTTAATTGATTCATATTCGGTGTACATATTTTCAGGGTATGTGTAATGATTTGATATATTCATATGTAATCAAATCAGGATAATTGAGGCATCCATCATCTTAAATATTTATCTTTACACTAGGAACATTGAATTATTCTCTACTAGTTATTTTGAAATGGACAATTAATGTTAACTATAGTCACTCTACTGATCTATCAAAAATATTAGCAAAGTATTCCTTTTATTTATCCTTTTTTAGAAATGGAGTCTTGCTATTTTGCCCAGGTTGGCCTCAAACTCCTGGGCTCAAGCAATTTTCCCACCTCAGCCTCCTGAGTAGCTGGGATTACAGGTGTGAGCCACCACACCTCTTACCTGGATTTGTGAGAGTAGTATTTGGTATAGAGACTGTGGATAAAATAGGATTCTCTCTCTCCGCGCACTCCATGGCCTCTCTGTGTTTCTTTCCAAGATGTTCATTTGAACTGATATTCATCTTGTCAACACTGCTCAACTAGAGTGACAGATTCTTTCTGACGTGGGGCCCAGGTATGGATCAGGGAACCCAAAGTGACATGCAAGCCCAAGATACACTGCACCCTGACGGCTGCCGGGTTGTGACCACTTCTAGGGCATCAGTGTAGGGATGGAGGAACTGGCCTTGTCTGAGAGGCCACACCAGGGAATTCAGCCTCAGGGACTTCAGGACATCTTAAACATACAAGGCACATGGAAGAGGGAAAAGGCTGGAAAAACAGGGTAAAGGTGAACATTAAAAAATAAACAAACAAAAATCAGGGGGAGAAGAGACTGGAGTCTAAACTTTTACTGGCATCTTGACCTTGTTTCTAGTCTTGTCATTATGAACTGACCTCAGAAGAGTCACCTCACCTTTCTGAGTCTGTTTTCTCCCAGCACAGTTAATCATCTGAATCTTTTGCATCGAACAATCCATGCTTTGCATGCATGAAGGTTTGGCTTTTAGCACAAAGAAGTGAATTTGAGTCTTGAGTCTGATAAAGACCTCACATGCCTCAGAGGTTCTGCCTCTGACCTGGTCCTGGGGACCCCTGATCCTTCCTGTGGTTCCTTGTCAGCTGCAAGCATAGACCCAAGTTACTAGAGGGTGGATATCACACCATTTCCCTTTTAGTGGCTGGCTTAGGTGGGCCTCCCAGCCTGCTGGTGTCTCAGATTCTTAGGCATAAAAATAATCATGACCCTGGGAGAAGATACTTTGCTACATACATTTCTTTAGGAAGATAAAAATCCAAATCTGCATGTGATTTTCATCCTTTATAAAACAATACAGCCTTAAAGTACTTGCTCTAATTGGGTTCCTACTGAGTAACAAACCCTAGAAAATAGCAAATGTATACAATAAATCACAATACATCTCATATAGCAACTCTGAAGTTTTAGTATTTTGCCCAAATTCACCTTACTAGGATAGAAAGGTCTGATTCACCCAACCTGAAAACTGAAAAAGCATTCTTCTGGAGATACCCAAATTCAAACTCTAAAATATCTGTCCCTTGAGGAGAGAAGGAAAACACATTTTTAGTCATGCCCTCTGGCTGTCAGTCTGAAATCCTAATCACACCTGGCCTTAGAGAAACTTTGGTAGACATTTGATAACTGTTGACTTGAGTGGAATCTAAAACTCACTGACAAGCAAGACAAAGGCCTTCTAGGTAATGCTTATATTAATGGGCCAAATGAAGAAAGGACCACTCTTTGGGCCTGTGGCCCGTGGGGTGATTTGAGGTGGTTGCCCAGGCACTTTGAAACATTGTTTGAAAACCCTATGGCCTGGAGAGTGTCTGAGGCCTGCCCCAATACTAATATGCATCCGGTTCTATGAGAATGGAACTAAATGACCTTGGAAGAGCTGTGTATTCCAGGAGAATTGTGTTGTAGTGGACCACCGAGCACGCCTCCAAAGCTGCCAGGCCAAGACCCCAGAGACACTTGTGGTTCCGTTGCCAACTGGCTCAGGGAATCAGCTCAGACTCCTCCCTCAACTCTCTTTCTTGTTGGTCTCTTCTTCCAGCTGATGGCTCCGGTTTTATTCTGTGGCCCCACACCTGGTCCTGCCCAGCCCTTCAGGGAGACCTCTTAGTTGGATAAGATACTGGCTGTGTGGCCTCCACGTGGTTCTTGGACATTGACCCTCAGCTTTCTGTATACTCCTCAATATGCTTCCCAGTGCAATTCCACACACCTCCTCACCCTCATACCCCCAGCCTTCTATAGAGGGCTTGGGAAGTCTCTGCCATAGGACTGTGGACGGAACTTCAGAATTAAAAAAGAGATTGGGTTTGATACCTAAAAGCAGTAGGATTTTGTCATATTCTTAAGTGATGGCTAAAACTCAATCTTGGTTGACTCTACACAAAGAGAATATAGAGTGGAGATTAAAAATCTGTGCCATACACTCAGATGGCCAAGGCTCATTTCTTGGCTCAGCCACTTACTATGTGGCCATGAGCAGGCTGTTTCTCCTCTCTGAGCTTCAGTTTTTCATCTCAAAACGGGAAATACTAATTCCTACCTTACTGAGCTCTCCTGAGTGTTTGTGAGAGGAAGCAAGCCTAGTACCTGCCCTGTAGAAGAAATTTCGTGAATGTTCCTTTTCTTCCCTTTGTTAGACCAACATCAAGAGATGGTCTCCATACTTAGTTTTTGAGGATCCATCGTTGAGGAAACAGTAATAACTTTCTTCATTCCCATTAAGCATACTGAGCATAGGAGGCCTGATGGATACAGGAGCCAGAAGTTTGAAATAATTGATTAGGTTTATTTTAACTTTGTAGAGGTTTTCAGATTTCAGTGACTTAACTGACTTAAGGTGTCAAGTGTTGGGCCTCCTCCCTTATGATAAAAGCCCCAGAGTTTTGTCCATGGGACCATGTAATACCACAACAGATGTATTATCATGAGGCTGCACTTAGTACCCTGATTGGCACTGCCTTTAAAACAAAACAACTTCTTAATAGGAGAAATTTTAAGCATTGACAATTGTCGAGTAACAGTGTGATGAACTCCACGTAGCCATCACGGGGACAATCTGGTTTCATCCATATTCTTACCCACTTGCCCCCAACACCCAAATATTTTAAAGCAAATCTCAGACTTCATATTATTACATAAATATTTCCATATGTAGTTGTAAAATAGGACTGTTTTTCAAACATAACCACAGTACATTTTCACCTCTAAAATTATTACAGTAATTCCTTAATGTCTAGTGAATTCTTCTCCTTTTCCCTCTCTCTCACTTTCTACTTTGCATATATAGTTTGTTCAAGTTGGAAGCCAAGTAATGTTCATACATAGTATTGTAATTGCTTAGTTTTTCACATGGGCCGCTTTTTTTCTTGTATTAAAAAAAGACGATTTTTTAGAAGAGTTTTAGGGTCACAGCAAAGTTGAGCAGGAAGTACAGAGAGTTTCCATATACTCCCCTGCCCCCCATATACACAGCCTCCCCATCTATCAATATCTCACACTAGAATGGAACATTTGTTGCAGTCCATGATCCTATATTGGGACATCATCATTATCCAAAGTCCATAGTTTACATTAGAGTTCACTTTTGGTGCTGTTCATTCTATGGGTTTGGGCAAGTATTTGCTTAACATGGATCTACCATTGTAGTATTACACAGAGTTGTTTCACTGTCCTAAAAATATGCTGTGCTGTGCCTAGTCATCCTTCTCTCCCCACACATAATCTCTGACAGCCACTGATCATTTTATTCTCTCCATAGTTTCACCTTTCCCAAATGTCATAGAGTTGGAATTATATAGTGTGTAGCCTTTTCAGATTGGTGTCTTTCACTTAGTAATGTGCACTTAAGGCTCCTCCATGTCTTTACATGGCTTGATAGCACATTACTTTTTAGCAGTGAGTAATATTCCATTGTATGAGTGTACTAGAGTTTAATCCTTCACCTATTAAAGGACATCTTGGTTGTTTCCAAGTTTTGGTAATTATAAATAAAGCTTCTATAAACATCCATGTGCATGTTTTTGTGTGGGCATATATTTTCAACTCATTTGGGTAAACACCAAGAAATGTGATTGCTGGACCGTATGGTAAAAGTATGTTTAGTTTTATAAGAACCCACCAAACTGTCTTCCAAAGTGCCTGTGCATTTTACATTTTCACCTGCAGTGAACGAGAGTCCCTGCTGTTCTGTGTCCTTATCAGCATTTGGTGTTTTCAGTATGAATTGCTTTGTAATTTATAGGTTTTTCATCTTACTCTTTTTACCTTTCAGTTTCTTTGTTGAAGAAAGCAATGATTTGTCCTTTAGCGTTTCCCAGGGACTAGCGTTTGCTTATTGTATCCCCATGGTGTCATTTAGCATGTTTTTATGTCTTTGGATTGCCTGAAAATCAGCATTTAGATCTAGAGCTTGATCAGATTAAAATGTGATATTTTGGGCAAGACCATTTCATAGATGGTGGTGTGCACCCTCATCAGGCGGCACTAAATGATTGTCTCTGTTTTTATGCTATTATAGCCATTGATCGTTGATGCTTAGATATATTAATTTATTCCGATTATGAAATAGTGATATTATATCATCACTTCTTCATTCTTTAGCTGGAAACTGTATAAAGACAAACCTCCCCTCATCAACTATTTGGTTACCCTGAAGTATAGGGTCATACTGATAAGGTGAGATAAATGTTTTATTCTTTCTTTTTTACTTACCAGTGTTAAAAATAATGAATTAGTCTCCTAGAACATATTTGGCATGTTTCAGTCCATTGCAGCAGTTATCATTCCAATCGATGTTCAGATTGCCCCATCTTTGGCCAGTGGGAACCTCTTCAAGACAGCTCCTGAGTCCTTTTGACATGACCCTAGTAGACTCTGCTAACTTCCTTACTATCTGGTATGTCAAGAAGCTCTAGGTTTATCCTGTATGTTTCCTGTCCTAGATCTTGAAGCAGTCTTTTTTCCAAGGTTACTTGTAGTGGGTGACTGCTGCTCTTTGCATCATGTTCTTTAATGTTGATGAAAATGCAAGCTTGGACTATTAGCTAAGCATAGAATTGTATTCATGTTGTAGATGTTTTACACCTGAGGCAGCGTACGGCATCTTGAAACTCTGAGGGGCATTCCCTGTCTTGGCCATGTTCAGGGGCTTCTGTAAAGACTGTTGCTTATTGGCCGGGTGCAGTGGCTCACACCTGTAATCCCAGCACTTTGGGAGGCTGAGGTGGGCGGATCACAAGGTCAGGAGATCGAGACCATCCTGGCTAACACGGTGAAATCCCATGTCTACTAAAAATACAAAACAATTAGCTGGGCATGGTGGTGGGCACCTGCAGTCTCAGCTACTTGGGAGGCTGAGGCAGGAGAATGGCATGAACCTAGGAGGCAGAGCTTGCAGTGAGCCAAGATCGCACCACTGCACTCCAGCCTGGGCGACAGAGTGACGCTCTGTCTCAAAAAAAAAAAGAAAAAAAAAGACTATTGCTTATTATTTCTTATGAACTAACAGTCAGCTCAGTCTCCTTTTATCATAATATTACAAGTATAATAACAATAACATTCATCAAATTGTAACTGTGTACCAGGTACTTTACATGCATTTTTTAATCCTCCCAACAACCCCATGAGGTAAGTATTATCATTAGTCCTCCCTCTTTACAGATGAAGAAACTAAGAGATTAAACAGCATACTCAAGATGACAGAGGGAGAGAATTGGTAGTGCTGGGGTTTAAGCTGAGTAGAAATAAGTATGGCAATCTACTCTCAGCAGCAAAACAGGCTTGGCCTGGAAGATGTGCCTATAGGGAAAGCTGTTTTTCTTTGTGGTTGAGGAGATTTCAAATGGAAGATGTGTATTTAAGACATGGTAGCAGTGGAGAGAGAAAGACCATAATTCCAGAAGCTGATAAATTGTTGCAGCATCTTTCTAAATCCTCCATGGAAGGTTGGCCTAGCTAGTTCTTTGGTCCAGGAACCTTCCTGACCTTGACTCTGAGCTTGTTGCAGGCCTTTAAAGTGGGGGAAAGGCTAGAAAAGGAGAAAGTGGGCATGTGGGAAGAGATTACACCAGGTTTCCTCCAGCAGATGGGTCATGTTCTAATTTATTGATGGCTGCTGTCCCAGTGGAGCCCATTGCACTGTCAGAATTGCATTTGTTGAGCCTGGCAGAGAGACAAACCATGCCTATGTATACACCTTAGTCTCTGAAGCCAGCACTTTTTTCTTTAACGGCCCTTTGATGTGTTACAGGATCCTAATTAGGGCATTTCAATAAATCAGTCCCTTGGGCATTGACACTTCAACACCGGCCTAATTTGCTAAGCACTGGTAGACATTAACCAGTTGTTGAAAATTTGCTGTGACATTCCTTAAAGACTCATGTGGGGATCCTAGTCCCACGTGAGGACCTGGATGCCAGATTCTGGCCTTGAGTGTATGTACCCAAAGGTTGATCTCAGATATTCCATGACTAATAATACCACTCACAGGCCTTTAGTGGATTAAGCTATTGTTTGCCTAACACTCCAGGGTAGACAGAGATATGTAAGTGTTAAGTGGCAGCCTCATGGCTCCAAGTTTCCTGTGGTTACTGCCCATCCTTCAGGATTAATTTGGTGCCTATCTTTTTAGAGAGTCAATCACCCCATGCATTCCTTATTCATAACTTCCTGCTACAACTGGCGAGACACCAGGATACTCATTCGTTGTCTGCTAGGCCCGAAAGGGGGAAAAATGGGTGTGGAGAATTATAGAGGAAGGAAGGGAATTAGGGATGTCTTATCTTCAGAGAGTAAGGCTAGCCTTCCTCTGCATAGGATAAGAATGGCAAGATTTAGCCTCACTGGCATCCTGCATGTCCAGCCTGGGATGGCACAGTGCAAGAAGGATGTGACACATGTAAGGATGAGACACATGTAAGAATGAGACCACTCATCTGATACGAGTGGTGCACTAGCACCTGGGCAAGTGAAATTATAATACCAAGATTTTTTTTTTTTTAGACCTTGTTCTAAAAGGCCCTGTGCCCATGACTTTAAATGCAATATTTTATTTAAACTAAAAGGCCCTGCTCTCATGACTTTAAATGCAACAGTTTATTTAAACTTCCTGCAGTCCTACATGGAGTAGAAATTACTATTATTTACATTTTACAAGGGATGAAATTGAGGCCAGAGAGGTGAACCCCCCGCCAACCATGCAACTAGCAAGAGGCTTAGGTAGGCTAGTGCTGAACTCTGAATTATGCACATTGAAGGAGCCATTTCCAACCTGTCCCAGGGAGAGCAGCTGTGAGTGTGATGGCTGGACACTGGACCCTGCACAAGCCCTGAAGGACCAGTTATGAAACTCTCTCATCAAAGTCTGGTGCAATAAAGTGGTTTAGGAATGAAGTTATTCCAGAGGGAAAAGCCTGGATCTGCTCAAATTTATATTTAAAAAGCAGATGATTTTCAAACTTTAATTCCTATGAGCCAGACACTACTTGCATTTCATCTCACCACTGATCCTGGTATACCTGTGGATCTCTTCATCGTGTCTCATGCACAGGGTGCTTAGCTTCCATCTGTCTTGTTAGCCATTGCTTTTGTTTCTGCTATCCTTTCTTACATACATCTCTGTTTGGTGTTGACAAATGAGTCAGGCCCTGTGCTGGCTGAGAACAGTACTGAGAGCAACAGGCAGGTTTCTGCTATCGATGTGAGCCTAGGCTGGGGCCGGGTCCCAGCGTAGTGCTGTGCTTATGAGCAAGGCCTGGGTCAGATTGTCCAGGTTCAATCCTAGCTCTGCCCGGTATCAACCTCTTTGAGTCTTGGTGGTTCTGTCATCTGTAGAATGGGGAAAATAATATGACCTACTTAACTGGGAACAGCAAAGATTAAATGAGATAATTCATTTGAAAACTTGACCCAGTCTCAAGTGTAGAGTAAGCTCAAACAGATATCAACTGTTAGTGTTTTCTGACTTTCTGGGCTTACCCTCTTTTCATGACAGCCAGGGGTTCCTGGTTTACTGGCCCTGCCTCTTGAATCTGTGTTTGATTGATGATCCTCTAACAACATGGTCTTGGTGTTAAACTTGCCCAGGTTACAGTACAGGATCTCACATTCCCCAGCTAGTCCACAACTTGGGGCAGCTGACCTGGGTACTCCTGCATCCAGACCCTGCTTGCCCATGGGCTCATCTCCTGCCCATCTTTGTCAGGCACCATAGTTATCTCCACCTCAAATAATATATTTGCAGTTTTCCACAGGATTGGTGACATATTTTTACATTGGCTGGAATCTTCTTGCCATTTCTTTGATTTCCTCTTTTGAAATAGAAAGATCATTTTATAACTTGACAGAACTGGATGAAATGCCTATTTCACATACTCTGTCTCAGGCTCTAATGTTATTTGGCACTGTGTGAAGAATACAATGTGGGAACATGGGATGACCCATGTTCCTCTGTAGAATATTGCTCTCGCTTCTGTGTCCCCACAAGCTGTGCTCACTCTTGCCTCTGTGCCTTTGTTGGCTGCTTTCCTAGCCTGGGCTGCCTTTCTGTGTCAGCTGCTTTCTTCCTTCAATGCGCATCTCAAAGTTTTATTCTGGCTGTGGAGCTGTGGCACCTTCCACCCATGCTTGATTTCTTTCCTCCCTGTATAAGTGGAGTACTCATTGCAACCCATAACCTGACACTTTTCATGCACTTGCTTATGTTCAGATTATTCAGCAAACCTCCTAATATTTTCCAAGCCTTGTGCTAAGTATTTTTCACATATATTGCCTCTTTTAATCCTTACAATAACCCTGACAGTAGATATTATTAATTTACCTACAATGTATATGTGACAATTGAGATTAGATTCAATAGCTTAAATAACTTATCCATTAAGAAAATGAAGTCTGGGTGTGGTAGCTCACGCTTATAATCCCAGTGCTTTGGGAGGCCAAGGCAGGAGGATCGCTTAAGACCAGGTGTTTAAGACCAGCCTGGACAACATAGTGAGTCCCCGTCTCTACAAAAATAAAAATAGAAGACAATTAGTTAAGCATGGTGGTGTGTGAATGTAGTTTCAGCTACTTGGGAGGCTGAGGTGAAAGGATCACTTGAGCCTAGGAGTTGGCTGCAGTTAGCTGTGATCATGCCATCACATTCTAATCTGGGTGACAGAGACCCCCATCTCTAAAAAGAAAAAAAAAAAAGATAAGCCACCAACTGGGAGAAAATATTTGCAAATCTTATTTCTAATGTGTATCCTGAAAATATAAACAACCTTTATATTTCAGCAGTAAGAAGACAGATAGTTCAACTTCAAATGGGCCAGATTTGAATAGGCATTTTTCTCAAGAAGATGTGTGCATGGCTAGTTAGAGCATGAAAATATGTTCAATATCATTAGCCATTAGGAAAATGCAAATCAAAACCACAATAAGATACTATTACACCCACTAGAATAGCTATAATTGAAAAGAGAGGCTAGGCATAGTGGCTCATGCCTGTAATCCCAGCACTTTGGAGGCCAGGCAGGTGGATCACCTGAGGTCAGGAGTTCGAGAACAGCCTGGCCAACATGGTGAAGCCCCAGGAGTCTTTACTAAAAATACAAAAATTAGCTGGGCCTAGTGGTGGGCACCTGTAATCCCAGCTACTCAGGAGGCTGAGGCAGGAGAATCGCTTGAACCTGGGAGGT